CCTTTTTACATTTCTGCCTGCCCTTTTTAAATTTCTGCCTTACCTTTTTACATTTCTGCCTTCCCTTTTTGCACTTCTGCCTTCAAGGACAAAAAAATAAATAAGGTAAATATTACAAAGGCAAATAAATAAAGAAGCTAATTAAAAGAGTTGTATACATTTATGTCTCACTGTATGATTTAATTTCTACTTACATTTATTTGTTTATTGTATTTTTGTTGGCAATTAATTGTATGCTTATATATATTGAGCATTTATTTATTTCTGTATTTATTTTTAAATATGGCAGAGTTGGTCATCCATATGCTTCACCTAACTGACTGTCAGTAACATAAATAGAAGAATAAAATGGATAACTGTGTGATGAAACCTCCCTGATATAATGCCATTTAAAACAGTTATTCATAGCCACTGCATGGTAAGAGCAAAAAAGCCTCTAATCTCTGAAGAAAAAAACACAATGGTTATGGAGCAAACATTTTTTTTTCTTCTATCTTTTTTTTTATTTATCTTTATCTTTAGCTTTGCTTCATGCAGGTAACAAAATGTGAATAGTTTTGGTACATGTCTCCATATAGATTAGTCCAAAAATTCTCCAAGCCCAGACAGACACCACGGTGCTTGGATGACAGGGACTTTTTATTTCCTCTTAGCGGTTTAAAATTTTCTACAATCAATGAGCTTTGATGGAATGTTTGGTTTGTCAACTTCCTCATTAAGATGCCAAGCACTTTCATGATAACTGTCCTCAAGCTGTGCTGCAATACTATTTGACCTCCCATCAGTGTTTGCATGGCACAGTATAAAGGTTATTGCTTTACTCCTGTTTTGGGGTATTTTCTGTTGTAAGAGTTCTTTAAGTCCAGCTGTTCCCTTGTCCTGTGCAAACGCCGGATCACAGCTGGAGACAGAAAGCAGAAATCCGTAGTGTTCATACAAACAGCCATGAAGCCATCTCTGTATGTTACCTCTGTCCTTTGTTGTTTGCTTTCTTTTGATGTTCATTCTCTAAGGAATAAGCTGCCTGATTTCCAGTTTGTCCTCTAATTTTTTATTTGCATTTTTAAATACACCTAAAGATAAATAATTTCATATTGAACATATTTTAGGGAAAATATTTTTGGGGGTCAATGTCTTTTTTCTAAAGGGTGTTGCTTCACCTGCTCATGTGATCCAACTAATTTATTACCCTTTCATGCTTTAAGCCATTATTGTGGTAGAGAAGCTTGTTTTAAAACTATTTGCAGAGATGATTGGACTCTACAAATCTTTACGTTTTAAGGTGTAAATCTTTAAAAAAAAACGTCTTAATTTTCCTTCTTGTTTTAGATTTTAACTATGTACAAATTATATGGTTGCATAATCCACTGAGTTTGGACATGGGGCATGTGTGACCTTAGATTTGTGCCTGTTTGACCTCCAGGCAAAGGTGATGACCTGGAAAGAGATCGACGCAGAGTACCAGGGGCTGGTGAAACGCTCTGAGCAGCTTCTATCGTCCATGCAAAAGAAGAAGAGGGAAGAGGAAGAGACAGAAAGACTGAAACACATCGAGCAGGAGATGGAGAAAGAGAGGAGGAGGAGGGAGGAGGAAGAGCAGAGACGTAGACAGGAGGAAGAGGACAGGAGACTGTGAGCGGAAAATATTCAAATCTAACTGCTGATGTGTTTTATAAGTTATGCAATGTATTTGGTTACTTTAATTTATTTCCTTCTCTTTAATGAGACATTTTTTTTTTACATTTTAGCAAAGCAGAGATGGAAGTAAAAAGAAAGCAGGAAGAGGAAGAACGAAAGAAGAGAAAGGAAGAGGAGAAAGTTATTCAGGTTTGGAACTAAAACCATGTGATTTTTTTTTTCTTTTATCCAAGTTGTGAAGCAAATGTGTGCAAAAATGACAGCTGAAATTAATTTAGAAAGTTGACTAATAAATCTCCTTAATCCCCTTGTCAGCTTTGATCTATCGCTAGTCAGATAATTGGCCCGTCCTGCATGATAATGAGTAAAAAATGAATGAAAGAAACTAGATGAGATGAAAATCCTTCAATAAAGAATTATGTTTGGTTCATCATAGAACCACTTTTTTGCATTTAGATATCAAACAAAAAAATATCTTCTGGTAAATACTTTTTGATGCATTTCTCTTTCGGCGCTGCACTGTTTGCATAAAGCTTAGTGTTCTCTAATAAAGGAAAAATATATTGCAGCCAGGAAGGAAAATAGAAAATATAGTTTTGTTTGGCAGCCTACAGTGTCTTTTCCTTTGTCTACATTCTTTCAGGGAAATTTTGTTCCTTAAAAAGCAAAGATTTCCTCCATTCAAACCAATGTGCAGCCCCTTTCCTTTTTTAAACACTCACTCTTTAGTGACTTATTCAAGCATCTAGAGTTGATACAGCTCCTTCGTTCCAACTCTGGCTTCATCATCACATCAACATAACGGAAAATAACAAAAAAGGTTCAAAGTAGCATTGATATATTTGACAGGGGGGTAGCTGACGTAGGTTATATATCAAATCTGTTTTTTGGTCTTTGTGTTAACAGGCAGAAGTGGAAGCACAGTTGGCTTTGGAGCGCGAGGAGCAGGTCCAGCGTTCTGCCGTATTAGAACAGGAGAGAAGAGACAGGGAGTTAGCCATGAGAATCGCTCAAAGTGAGGCTGAACTCATCAGTGAAGAGGGCCAGCTGGATGCCGCCCTGCGCAGGTAATGGTTAAATGGGGTCTGTGCATGATGCAGAGTACATGGCCCTTTGTTTACACAGTGAATATGCCGTGCTGGCCCATGCTGACCGGGGCATGCATAAGTACCTGACCTGTTCCTTTTTTTGTTTCCAGTGATGACTTCTATTTAGGTCTTCCTATTTCTTCATCCTCAGCCAGAGTCATGTAAGATACCTGAAACGGGTGTAACTAACACCAGTCATAGATGTCCACTTACTTCTAGACTCCTCTAATAACAAACTGCCACAGTAAAAAGAGTAATTTTTGATTGTTAAAGTCATGGGGAAAGCATATTTAAATATCAAATTATTCTGGCTTAAACATGTATTTAAATGTAATCTTTATCAGACGATATTCTCCCAAAATTTAGAACATTTCTGTTTAAAAAAATAAAAAAATCCTGTCATTAAAATCTGTTTTTTTTTCCGTTATTTCGTGCAGGCCAGTTAGTTGTACGTCAGCCCATACACCTAAATTCGACCAATCTTAAATCAATGGTAATCTGTTAATTCGATATGTCGCAGCTAATCTGGTTCAAATAAGAAATCAGAATCCTTTCCTTTCCCATTGAGTTCCGTCCCTGTGTTCACGGGGATGGACATCTGTGTCTTCA